ATATATTATTACTAATCGCTATTCAGCGTCACTGATTATTACATATTACCTCATCGCTCATGCAATCAATGTTTTAAACTTTTAATTATTTCCCATGCATACCTGAATCATGCCATTCATGCAAATCGGGATCATGACCCTATCATGATCCCTGACCTTGCCCTTGCGCTACGAATACCCAGGGCACCAATGTCAACCACAACAGTTATCAAAATGGAATTGGAGAGTGTAAATATATAATAAGAAAGTAATTTATAATAATAATATTAAAAATAAATAAAAATAAACATTACACGGGGAAAGAGAGACTTTTATTCATTACAATAGTTATCTCTACAGTAACATTTACTTATAATTACACCAATTTCTAAAACCAACTTATGTAAACTATATAAATTTAACCTCCATATAATCACAAATTCTCTATAAGCACCAAATTCTTAGAGGTTTGACTGTATATATAAACAAATACTCTTATATTAAGTGAAAATCGGTTTCCGAACCCAAAAATCTCTAGATCTTGTGCAACAAAACTATGAAAATAACGAAAAAAGTAGCACCCTGACGGTATTATTGTTCCTAACTGACAGTAATATTATCCTCCTTATTATTCTCTTTCTTATTCTTTTTGCTATTCTCTTTATTATCCTTTTTGCTATTCTCTTTATTATCATTTTTGCTATTCTCTTTATTATCCGTTTTGCCCATCTCTTCCTCTTTCTTTACTCTTTCATCATACTTTAAACCATTAAGATGATATAAAATTTTTTCTTCATCTATACGTGTCAATGAATCCTCTTTAGATCGCACTTTTCGTCTATAAGACAAACGCCATAAACACAAGGGAAAAGACAACAAAAAAATGATCTTAAGTTTTCTTTTGCATATTGCAGCGCGAGACCGACACATAGACAGTAATAAAGACCAATGACACCAAGAATAATAAAGCAAAGTCCACATAAGTTCCATTAGATTGTTCAGTAACAAAATTAAAAAAATCATACCCCACAATACCAAAAAGAGCAATACAACCAAAAAACGTATAAAGAGATTGAGCTGCTTCCATTTTTGCTGTTTCATTATTATTTTTTCTTAATTTTCTAATATTTTTAAACACTTCTTTTACTAATTTTTTGTCGTCCACAATTAGAGCAGCAGGTTCTTCAAAAATTTTTAAATCAGAACCTTTCTCAAGTTCAGGATCTGGATTGGAAGTTGAGGAGCTAAGAAATGATTTAAAAGCCGCAATTACACCACTTCCGGAAACGATAGAACTAACAGAAGACACAGAAATACTTATAATTAAATTTAAATCTGTAAGATTTTCTTTTAAAACTATAAGAACAATCCCAACAATTACCGTATTACCGCGAAATAGCACACACCTGCGCGGTATTTCGAGTACGCGCATGTGTGCTATTTCGAAATCAACCTAGTTTTTATGAAATTCGGTGCTT